TCCATCATTAAACAGAGGTGGAGGCCTCCGTTTTCAGTTGTCCCCCTCCTACAGTGCTGCCATTGCCAGTATCACTCCACCCCCTGTTAACAATAAGTGTTAATTAGGTGTCAACGATAGCCATGTGATGTGAGTATCAGTCACCTGGAGGCAGGACTCAAAAGCCTGAATTTTGCCTGAAACTCTCAGACTGAAGAAGTCTCTTGAAGGAGAGACGAAACGTTTCATTAGAGACGAACCCGTCCAGAAGACCTATACAATTTTTTTTCTTTTTGATTTTTTACCTGGATTACTGAGATGCATCAGGACACTGTTTGGAAACATTTTCTCCACTTGCCTTCATTTATCCAACTTGTGTGCTTTTATTTTGTTTTGTTTTTTCCCCTGGTGTTCAAGTGTGAAATTACCCCTGAAGTGATGATATTCATGGGACGCTGAACTCACTGTTTTACTTAAGTTTCAGTGAAGATTAAGCTGCAATGTAGGCCCATCCCCAGAGGGTCAGTTCTCTTTAATGCTCCCCCCTCCCCCCTGGAGTAATGCTACCGATAAGAGCCCTAATGATGACTGATGACAAATTCAATGAACAGGCAGATTCAGCACGTTCTTTATGACCCATCAGCCAGTGGGAGCAAGTGGATTCTGGGGACGTGTCACAGCGCTGGTAGTCACATTAAAATGTCCAAACAGGACACAAGCTGCTTTCTTGAAAGGCTAACAAGTGAAAAGCATTTCAGCAAAAAGAGTTCAGATTGTTAGAAAACATTCAGGAGATCACTTTAAACCCTGCCATTTCCTGTGAGCTCCTCGACTCTATGAAATCTAAGACATTACACATTTCATTACATTCCTGTTGTATTACACAACGGGATAAAAAACATAAAACCGGGGGAACAACAGGAAAGGACAGAAATGAACAGGAAGCCTTGACAATGAGCTGTGGAAAACAGAACATTTGAGGCGGATGAGCAAGTGGAAACAGCTGATCACTAACGACAGGATCTGTGTACTTTTTAGTCATTCGTTTTACATTTAAGGACATATATCGAAAAACAAATGGTTATTTTCTTTTCATGTTGTACCGCAAAAACGGAAAAATGTCACATCATTTTAATTTTGTCAAACTGGAGGTTTAACACTGCTGTCAAGACAACTGAACACTGTGGAACCTGCGGCAGCTTCAAGTTCCTCACAAAAAAACCTCTTGGAGTTGTGTGCTAAAAGTGCGAGAAGCTCCAAAAAACAGTGCCATTGTTGAAAAAACAGGGTTGTTCTATCATCCGACACCCGTTAAAGAAATGTAAAACTAGTTAGCTAGCATAATCTAATGAAGTTCATTGTGTCTATATGATCAATCTTAAAACGTTTTCCTAGGTACAAGACACTTTATTTTATGTCTTTACAGACATACCTGACATGTTGTCGAAACATGTCAGGTATGTCTGTAAAGACATAAAATAACAGTGTCTAGTAACTAGGAAAAAGTTTTAAGATAGTTAGCTTGCATTTATTTATTTATTTACAAGGAGCTGCTCGTTATTAAAAAGTTATTTGACTAGCTTCATCTTAACTGGTCTGATAGTGTTAAACTTCCGGATTGAGAAAAAAAAAAAAAAACGGCCATTTTCCAGTTTTTGGGGTATAAAATGAAAAAAAAAAAAAACAGTCAAGATTTTGGTTTTCAACTTAAAATGAAAAAAAAAAGTTGACCAAAAAAGTACACGGACCACGACAGTCAGGTGGTCTGGGAGAACCAGAATGTTAGGAGTTGATAGAACTGCAGGACGATCAACTTAAATGAGCACAAAAACAACAAACCAAGACAACAAGGAGTCAGAATACTACATGTTTAATGTACAATGAACAATGGACTGAGGTAAGTCTTATTTATTTTTACTGATAAAGTCAACGAAGTACAAACTACTAAAATTTAAGACTTTCAAATTTAGCACGTAGTTAGTTGTAAACCACCTGACTCTGACAAAAAAATACGATTTTTAGTGGAATGTAAATTAATTATTTTGCATGACCTGTACTTGATGAGAGCCACTGGAAWGTCAACGCTTTGTTCACATGCATGAGCTGACAAAAAACACTATGCAAATAAAAGTGCAGGTACCTATAGAAAGAAGAAGTAAAATAACGCACATGGAGCATCAGTTTTAGTAATTTCCAACAGAAAATTTCACCGAAGTTATGGAACACATCAAACCAAATGAAATGTGACCTGCACCTTGATATGTTTGCTTGCGTTCGTAACATTTTTCCACTTGATGCACTCGCTCTGGTTTGACTTCAGTTGTTGATTTTCTAAAGCATTTCTGATGACTCGTGAAAACTGTGCACATTCTTTCATTTCATCTGGTTTTTTGCTTGGAGGTGGACGGACTAGTAGTAAATGCTGCAAAGTGTGCATCGAGTAGTAAAAATCTAAAAATATGTGAAGGTTTAGGCGTTTAACAGAAGAAAAAATACTAACAAAAACTGGAGTTTCTAAAGTGCAAAACAGAGCTGAATATGGTTTAAAAAGGAGAAATGTAAGTTTCAGCATTGTGCAGAAACTTAGAAATGGACCAAAATGGATCTTTTGGTTGAATCTGCTGCTGAGACAAAAAAAATAAAAAATAAAAAAAATAAATAAAAAACTGGGAACAGGTCCAGCCGAGCAAAATGGGTTCCTGAATCTCAGTGAAACTCAAGGCTGGCATTACTTCACTTGACTTTATGGGGAAAAAAGTAACTTAAACCTCACTGGGATGCTTTTACTGGCATGGTCCAAAGCAAATCCTTGAGCATTCGAAAAGTGTCCTGAAAGTTAAACTGTTTCAAAGCCCCCTTGTGTGTTGTTGACAGATTTCTACTTGGCTATATTCATGGCCTAGAATTTCTGGGGTACATTTTAATCTTTTGACCCTATTGTTCGTCTCTACCAACAGTTTTCCAGTCAAAGCAAATCTTGGCTTCTTTCTGTAAAAAGTGGATTTAAATTTGCATCGACTCGTGTCAAAAATTAACTACGCCCAGCTGAGACCGAGACATCTATGGGTGTTTCTGTCGAGACGTCTCCTCTGACAGAAGCGCCGTCAGCACACAAGAACCCTGCGAAACCTGACCCATTTACAGTCTGCTGCAGCCAGAAATACAGCCTGTCAGATGTTCAAAAACTGCAGAAAATATAAGAAGAGGCATATAAATAGTTGGTTTTATAAAACTCTTTGGCTTTCCCTTACCAAAAAGTAGTATATGCAAAGTATACTAATTTTAAACTAAAAAAAAATAATAGTATACTTTCAGTTTACTTTTTAGTACTTATCAAAAATGTACTTAGCCAAGTTTATTTCACACAATACTTGACTTATACTAAAAATAAACAAAAAGTCAAAGTATACTTAATCTATACTTCTGTTCCCAGATAGCAAAAGATATTAATTTTATGTTGAATTATGGTCATAAAAGTTGATTTTTGGTTAAGGACGAAGACTGATGATAGATCAACCACAGAACAATAATTCAATTSTAGCCAAATAACCAATGTTGAAAAGATGTCATTGAATCATTGTTGTTTCATGGTCGAATTCTAATGATTGAAATGCTAGCGTCTAATAAATGTTGAATGAAGGTACTCTGTTTGTCATCACCACCCCTCCTCCTCTCTTCCCCTCTTCCCTCCTCTCCCAGCACTGGGTGATAGCATTTTGTCATTGGGCTTTACTTAGCTGTWCTTTTCTTTTCTACCCATCTCTTGAATTGCCCTTTTTCATTCTGCGTTTCCTTTTGTTTTCCTTTTTTGGTAACACTTTCTTTTACGGTACCCTTATTGCCATGTAATTACAAGGTAATAAAAAAATAATGTAATTACCATGTAATTACGTGGTAATTAGGGTACAATTTTACTATGTAATTAATTGTCTGCAGTAAWGTAGCCCTTACCTGGTAATGTATTACAATTCACTATGTAACACCTAAATATGTAGTAGGTAATTTGGACAGTTTTAAAGTTATATTTTATTGCAATTAACCACTAAGACCAAGATTTAGTTGCATCCTTTTGGTTATAAATATAGTGTTGAGTTACTATTGAATAGTAATTTAGTTGTAGTTACCCAATAAAGGTAGTTTTACTAGCAGTAGTTTTTCTTTTGTACCATAACTACCACGTAATTACATGGTAATAAGGTAGTAATTACATTTAGTTACATTTTTTATTACGTTGTAATTACATGGTAATAAGGGTTCCGTAAAAGAAAGTGTTATCCCTTTTTTTACGTATTTTATTTCCTTCTATTTTCCTGACCATTCTTTTTCCCTCTTGTTTCCTCCCCTTCATTTCTTTGTCCTTGTCTTTCCCATCCTTCTCTTTATTTCCTTTCCTTTTTCCTGTCCTTCCCCTTTTTTGTCTTTCTTGCTTCCAGCAAGCTGACCTAAAAGAGGTAAACCATGCCAAGGTAAGCATCCAAAAACAAAATCATGTCCAGAACCTAAATCTTTAACCCCTGGTTGTCCCAGACACCAGAACTTGATAAAAAGCCAACTTTTATTGGTGATTCTGCCAAAAACCCAGCTCTGTCCCCACTCATACACTCCTCTTCTAATGTCTCTAAAGCCCCCTTAGGTTGATAAGCCCCCACCCCACACACACTCTGTCTGACAAGACGTGTGATCAGTCGCACCGGCACCTCCAGATGCTGCACCAGACAGGATTCACTCACATTAGACCAGAGGGGGTGGAAATCCTCCCTCTTACCCATCTGCCTGGCTTCACACCTCATCCTCCAACACTCCTCCTCTTCTCCTCTGTCATCGTCGTGAATAATAAATACCCCAGCACACACATGAATGCACACACTTACATTTTAAAGAAACTAATCATGCTAATCGTACACGTAAGGATGGATCGGCTAAGTCTGTTCTCTTTAGCTGAGAGGGATGTAGTGTGGAAAAGTATGGACCAAATAAAGTCCTRGCTCCCCCATGAATGAATGAGAGTGGTTGTCCTGTACCTGACGGACATGGAGAACTCTCCCGGAGCACTCTCGCTCTCTCTGACGAGGAAGGCTCCACACTCTCTGAGTCGGAGTCGACTTTCTGCCACGCCACGAGAAATCCGGCCAGCAAACCAGCTGGAAGATAGAAACATCCAGAAATACAAGCAGACAGAAAGAAAGAGGTCAGCTGATGATATTGTTCTATATTCAGACCAAAAATAAATAAATGAAGAAAATAAGTGTTATYAGTGGATAAGACTATTAAAAAGAGAGAGAGAGAGAGAGCATCTAACTGAAGTACAGATCAGTGTTGACAGAAAATAAAAGAACAGCTCCAGGGGGGGCAAAAAATATGGCACGTTTGAGAAGTTATTTTAAAATCAGATGCTAAATCTGTACATAAAACAAATCCCAAAAGACTGGATTTAAGCTGTCAGCAGTGTAGCGTGTAATGGTGTCATTTTTCATTTCATCTTTTGCTCATTACTTTGGCTTAACGGCGCAATTTGCTCGGGTGCAAGGCTTGAGTGAGGCRAAATTCTGCTTTCATGAACTATAAGACTCAAACAAAGATCCAAACATTTTGACAAACTGTCTGGTTTCAGGGCTTTTTTGTAATATTCTCAATTTACTCCCCCCTGGGGGGGAAACATRTAAAATGTAAGTAAAAATAGCATGCAGTGGTCTGCAAATGCCATAAATCCATATTTAAATCACKATAGTAAATATAAGTTATACCAATTTAGGAAAAAAACAARGTAATTTTGAGTTTGATGGTAGCAACACGTCTCAAAAAATTAGAGACAGAGGCAACAAAATTCAGAGAAACTAATTGATATAAATAAAAAACAGCTGGAGGAGCTGTTTGCAACTAATTAGATTACTTGGCAACAAGTCCATAAGAGAACTGGCTGTAACTAACTGATTCAAAAACTAGTTTAGCAATTTCAAATTAATGGGCCTCATGCAAGAACATGTTCGTATTCTTATCCTAAATTTCTCTTACTTTTGTTCGTACAAAGGGTTCGTACGAACATGTCACGTCAGATTCAACAAACTCTTCTATCTTCAAGAAAAGTGTGAAAATAAATTCCACCTGTTCGTATCCAGCTGCTCGTGCACGTGAGAGGAGATTAGCATAATTACCTGTTAAAAATCTGTCTCTGTCGC